GGAACACACGGGACATCCGTACCCAGGTAAAACTCGCCGACGGAACATGCCGCGAGCTGACCAGAGCTCTGGCGGCAAATATCTACCTCGGAAGCGAACGGACGCCCACCATTCTCCTCGTGATGTCGGACGCACTGGACGACATACTCCTGGGAATGGATTTCCTCTGCGGAATCGGAGCAACCCTGCTCTGCGGCGGGCAGACCCTCCGACTGCGACCGAACGACCAGCGAAGACCAACAACAGAGCCACGATCTGACCAGCGAAGACCAACAACATAGCCACGCTCTGACCAGCGAAGACCAACGACAGAGCCACGCTCTGACCAGCGAAGACCAACGGCAGAGCCACGCTCTGACCAGCCAAGGGAGCCACGCTCCAACCCACGGGACCAGCCCGCAGAGCCACGCTCTGACCAGCGAAGGGAGCCACGCTCCAACCAGCGAAGACCAACGACAGAGCCACGCTCTGACCAGCGAAGGGAGCCGCGCTCCACAACCGAAGAGCCACCAACGGCACACCACTCAAAGTCACACTCTGATCAGCGAAGCACGGCACCGGAGTCACACTCCACCCACGCCGAGAAGCCACCGACGACAGCCCAAGGAGCTACCCATCGAGGGCAGCCAAGGGAGCCAATCTCCGAACTCGACTACCAGCCAAGCACCTCACCTCGAGCACAGTTTCGAGACACAGCTTCACCAACGACGGAGAACCAGCCGCCCTTTTGGAGACGGGTTTTGCCCGTGGCAGATGCCACAGCCGCGCAACGGAATCCCTTCCGTGCCTCCACAAAATGTGTCCGCTTCCAGGATCACGTCGAGGAAACGCCGGAGCCGAGCCCGCCCCTATGCGGAACCGTCAATTCGGTGAGTCATCCCACAGAGGATCAGGCCTCTTTCCAGACAGAGGAACCTGAGACGCCGGATTACCCCGAGCCTTGGGTGAAGGAGTTCCTGGACCAGGAACTGGCCAAATTTGATACTCTTTCAGGGGTATCACACATCGCAGAGCATCGCATCTTCATGCGCACCGACCGACCCCTTAAACAGCGGTACTTTCCAAGGAACCCGGCCATGAGGGCCGTCATTGACAAGCAGATCAATGAACTCCTGCGAGACGGACGCATTGAACCTTCCAAAAGCCCGCACAGCGCGCCCATCGTAATCGCGGCCAAAAAGAATGGCGAAGTCCGCATGTGCGTGGGCTACCGCCAACTCAACGAGAACTCCGTGCCGGACGCGCATCCGCTTCCGAGGATCCATCAGATCTTGGAGCGACTCCGGAACGCGAAATTCATCTCGACGTTGGACCTCAAAAATGGGTATTGGCAAATCCCAGTGGCCCCGGACAGCCGGGAGTGCACGGCGTTTACCGTTCCCGGAAGAGGGTTGTTTCATTGGAGAGTCATGCCTTTCGGACTCCACTCCGCACCCGCCACGTTTCAACGCGCCTTAGACACGGTCATCGGTCCGGATATGGAACCCCATGCGTTTGCATATCTGGATGACATCATTGTCATCGGCTCCACACTGGAGGAGCATGTCGCCAATCTTGGAGAAGTCTTCAGACGCCTCCGCTGCGCAAACCTGCGCCTCAACAGAGGGAAGTGTCATTTCTTCCAGCGCCGCATCGTGTACTTGGGTCACGTGATCAGCGAAGCCGGAATCCACACGGATCCGGACAAGGTCGCTGCGATCCGTGGACTCGCACCCCCGACGAACCTGAAGGAGCTACGCAGGTGCCTGGGAATTGCTTCCTGGTACCGCCGCTTCGTGCCGAACTTCGCCGATGTTGTGGCACCCATGACATCGCTGCTGAAGAAGGGCCACAAGTGGGAATGGACGCAAAGACAAGACCAGGCCTTCCAGGAGCTGAAGACGCTGCTGACCGAAGCCCCTATTCTAGCTTGCCCAGATTTTGCAGAGAAGTTTGTGCTACAAACTGACGCCAGTGATTACGGAATCGGAGCCGTACTCACACAGACCATCGAAGAAAATGAGAGGGTGATAGCGTACGCCAGCCGCAGGCTCAACACAGCCGAGAGGAACTACTCAGTGACTGAGAAGGAGTGCCTCGCCATCGTCTGGGCGATTCGGAAGATGCGGTGTTACATCGAGGGATACCGCTTCGAAGTCCTCACAGATCACCACTCCTTGAAGTGGTTGAACTCCATCGACAACCCAACAGGCAGGATTGCCCGTTGGGCGTTGGAGTTGCAACAATATCAGTACGATGTCCATTACCGGAAGGGGGCCCAGAACTTAGTGGCCGATGCCCTTTCTCGCCAACCGCTGCCCATAGTGCAGCAAGCGGAGGTACAAGGAGTCAACTGTAAGTGGATCACGAGGATGCTCCAGAGGATTCGAACCGAACCGGCAAAATTCCCGGATTACCGAGAGGAGAATGGCCAGCTATATCGTCGCCTTGGACTCCGACCTGAGGAGGAAGAGTACACGCCCTGGAAGCTGTGCGTAGGGTCAGACTATCGCCAGCGAGTACTCGAAGAGTGCCACGATCACCCCACTGCCGGTCATCTAGGAGTCCGGAAAACCAGCACTCGCGTGGCCCAGCGCTATTACTGGCCTGGATTGTTCCGCGAGGTGGCTCGGTACGTTCGCCGTTGTCCCACTTGTCAGCGATATAAGGTGAGCCAAGAGAAACCTGCGGGTCAAATGTTTACTCGACAGGTCGAGGAGCCGTTCCACATCCTTTGCGCAGATTTCGTCGGCCCACTGCCGCGGTCGAAACAGGGCAATACGATGCTGCTAGTGTTCCTGGACGCCTTCAGCAAGTGGGTGGAGCTAGTGCCGCTTCGCAAAGCTACCGCCACACATCTGGAACGAGCCTTCAGAGAGCGTATATTGAGCCGATTCGGTGTTCCCCGAACATTTGTCTGCGACAACGGTACGCAGTTCACCGGCCGCTCATTCCAGAAATTCTGCCAGTCCCTCGGAATGGAACTGCAGCACACAGCGCCCCTACACGCCGAGGCAGAATCCTACGGAAAGGGCAAATCGAACGATCAAGACGATGATCGCTCAATACTTGGATGGAGGCCAGCAGAACGAGTGGGATCAACTCCTACCGGAGATATCTTTGGCCATAAATAGTAGTGTCTCGGACACTACCGGATTCAGCCCCGCATTTTTGGTACAAGGCCGAGAACCACGACTCCCGAAGACGTTGTACGACGAAGTTACCCCCGGACGAGGCACCCCTGAGACTACCCCGACAGAGCGAAGCGAGCAACTCCGGAACATTTTCGACGTCGTCCGAAACAACGCTGACCGCGCCGCCGCCGAGCAGAGCCGGCACTACAACCTGCGCCGGAGGACATGGAGACCACCAGTTGGATCCATGGTACTAGTACGCCGACACGCCTTATCCAACGCGGCCGAGGGCTTTGCCGCAAAGCTAGCTGCGAAATACGAAGGACCCTTCAGGGTAGCGAAGTTCCCAACGCCGAACATCGTGCAACTGCACATGCCAGGAAGCCGACGCCGGCGGACCGCCAGCCTGAACCAGCTGAAGCCGTACCACCACGAGGATGAGGCAGACACCGAAGCCGGAACCCACCGGGAAGACACCGGAGACACCACGATCGAAGATGCCGACGACACCACTCTGGACGCACAGCCAGCAGCCAAGACCGCACGGCGCAGGGGACCCATCCCGCGCCGCCAACACTAGCGACGAGCACCCATGTAGGGGAGATGACCATGTTTCACAGGGGCCACTTGTTGACAGGCGCGCCTGTCCAACGTCCCGAACCCCCTAGTGGGGTGAACATGCGTCTCTTCCCAAAAAGCCGTAGCCGTAACCAGTCCTAGCCCACTCCATTAGGTAGGGCCCCGGGCAACACACTAATACACATCTCCTCTGTCCTTACAGCAGCAGCCTTCAGCCCGCCTACCAAGAGACACAAGCCACGCAGCCTGACGCCTGACATCTACGCCAAACCACTGCCACGTCTTCGCCAAACCACCGTCGCCACAAGGACGTCAATCAACCACTGAGGACCATGGACGAACTTGGGCGCCCAATGACCCCTGCTCCGTCACCTGATGCCTCCCATTGGATGCACGGCGCAATCGAGGGCCTTCTACAGGCGCTCCCCGGGAGACCTCACCTCCCTCGGCATCGGCTCCCTCCGGCAGCGACAGATGCCCATGGCGGTGATCCTCGCCGACGACGATGACGCAGAGGAAGCTGACCCGGGCGACCGCTCCGGGCCTCGTCAACCCTCTACCAGGGGTATGCCATCTTTGGCGCCTCTGCACACCAGCCCCAGCGGGCCACGAGCACTCTCTCTGGAAGTCGCCCACCACCGTGGCGATGACGAGGAGGGGGTGAACACGGATGACCACACCGAACTACGGCCATCATCTGCCGTAGGGGATGCCGCCCCTAGTGCCCAGGCACATCGGCCCCATTGGGCCACAACGACTCCCTCTAGAAGTCGCCCACCGCGGCGATGACGAAGAGAGGAGGCCCACCTGCACGACGACGCTGGACTCCGCCCCCACCCTTAAGGGGCATGCCGCTCCAGGCACCCCTGCGCACCGGCCACATAGGGCCGCAGGCACTCCCTCCGGAAGTTGCCTCTCTCAACGGCAATGACGAGGAGGAGGTGCCACGCGACGATCGCTTCGGACCCCTTCGGGTCAACCTGACGCCGCCCCAACGACGCGATGCTCCACCCGGAGATCTGCACCCTCCGTCGACGCCGAAGACGCCCAGAACCAAGCCGTCTCCCTGCCAGACGACTGGTTCAATTTTGACCACCTGGTAGAGGACACCCTGGGAGACCTATTCGACGCCCTCGACACCGGACGAGGCAGTCGGCCTCAACCAAGGTGGCCCATCCCACCGGGAAGCCCCCAGCGAAGAGCCGCAGGCGGTCGCTGCTCCCGGACCTCTGGGCGCTACGTACGATCTGGTCTCCGACGACGAGGGCCACGACAACCGCACACCTCGGCACTACGACCCAACCGGCGATGACGGCGACGACAGCGACGCGACCGTCCGATACAACCCCACCGCGGAGGACAGTCGTGACATCCGGAGGAGGAGCACCACACCGCCTCACCCCAGCACCCGCCGGACTCCGTCATATATGGGCGAAGTGGAAGCCGCCCTGGTCGAGTGCTTCGGGGAAATCCCGGAAGGCCTTATCGATTGGGGGACACCGGCGACAACACGCCGTCAACCATCTCGGCCGACGAGGACGAGACCAGCCGGGACAGCGGCAGGGCCCATCTCTCCAGGTCGCCACCCCCGCGTTGGACCCCGCCCAGCGCCACTCACGTCGGGACTCCGTCCCTCCAAGGCTGGGCACCCTTCACCGCCGGCCGTGCCAGATCCCCTCCGCCCTCCTACGAGGAAATATTTGGCCCTGGACCATACCCCGGTCCTCACACCACCGCCCGATGTGCCGCGGTGACCCCAGCCGCGATCCTCGACCACGCCTGCCCACCATTGCGGAGCTGGCCGCAGAGCAGGCGCGTCAAAGAGCGGAGGACCTCGGAGAACTCGGCATCCCACCGGCTGTCCCGCCACCCGCGGATGATCCGCCACCACCAACCCCCACGCCGCCGAGCACGGCGCCGGAGCGCACCATGGGCAGACAGCCCGACCAGTTCGTCCGACGAATCATCGCTGGACACCGACGAGGGAGCCCTCAACCCTCCCCGCTGGGTGCCTGCCCCGGCGGGATGGACCACGCCGAACGGCACTTTGCCGGCCGCCCTACTCCACCGGATCCAAGGCCGACTCGAGACTCCTCGACGACGGACGATTCGAGTTCTGGAGGAGGAGGCGAATCTACGCTTCCGCGTCCAAATAAATAGGAACGGCAAGGTAATCGTCACTCTCCAGCCCTCCCGAAGATGGGATGGAGTGTGACGAAGTCCCAAAACAGATGTACATAAATGTAAATATATAGTTAAGTTTATAATCAATATTAATCCTTGAAGTTAGCATATTTTATAAGTTAGAATTAAGCACACACACCACACACACACACACCCACACACACACACACACCTACAACTGTATATTTAGTGGCACGAAGCCAAACGTATTTTTGCCCATGGAGGGACAAATTATAACTAAGCAAAGACAGAAAACAAGTAGATGTACACGTTTTTAGGGAAGCGACTGTAGGGACCGCGACGCGCTAAAAACATTTCCCTCTCCGCTGCCGACGCAAGCCACGAACAGCGGCAGAGGCAGCGACGTTTCCCCTCCGACGATCGTGCGTGTTTACGTTTTGGTCGTGTTTATTTACATGCCGATCAAAACATAAAAAAAACAATAACAATAACCAAGCCGACGGCCGAAAGCTGCGCTGCCCGGACATTTTTGGCAGAGACGAGGCGACAAGGGCTTTGCAAGCTGCGACCGCGATCACTTCTCGGCGACAGCAAACGCGATCGGTCGAATCTAGTCCCCGCGATAGGTCCGAAAGGACTCGAAACAAATCGAAGCCAACATCCAAGTCCTAAAAGGACACGCGAGTCAACTCATATCCTGGCTGCCGGACACGTGTCCCAGTCCACCGATAACAGCGGGTGAGCCGGCCGAGCGCCATGTGAGGGCAGATTCTGGAGTGTGGCGTAGGGCCTGGCACGGTATTGTAACCGTAGCAAAGTTAGGAATAAATGTACAAAATAGTTAAGCAATAAAAATGAAGATCAAAGTCGTATCTCGTTCTCCCTCTCTCTCACACCGAACTCCGCGTAGCAACAGTCAACCCTTATTCTGACGCGTGCCAAAGTGTTCCCCTCCCGCTCACTCACTCGCCGAGCTGGTGGCTGGGTTCTCCCGCACCAACTTCGCGTGGCCGCTGGGCAAGCTCCGGGCCGGAGAAGCGGGACGGGAGCGGGATTTGTCGCCGCTGGGTTCTCCCGGGCACAGATCTGGCGTGGGCATCGGGGCTGCTGGGTTTTCCCGAGCTACGAGCTCCCTCGCCGCCGGCACGTGCTCCACAGATTCCCCCTCTTCCCTCTCCTTTTCCCTTCCAATCTGCATTTTGCCCGCCATCGCCGCTGCTGGGCAACCGAGCGGGCGCAGGAAACGGAGGAGCACCTGGCCATCGCCAGGGTGACCATTCTAGATTCCCATTTTTCCCGAAGTAAGATTTGCCTTTAAAAACGAGCCCCTTTTGCCCAGAAAATTCATTAAAATTCGGCGTCCATGTTCGGGCCGTCTCTAAAAATATAAATATTTCTGGAGAGGAATCCTGGGCCGCTCAGGTTTACCCCGGCCTAAGACACATCCTTACAACACCAATCAGCTGATCTGCTGACCACGTGTTAAAGTTTTTAACTTTTGCAAATATTTTAAATGCTCTTTTCAGCTCGAAGACACTTCGCACACACTTGCGTCCATAAACCGCTCGTACCTTAGGGCTTCGCCTATCTGTCTGTACGTTTTTTGAAGTTGTGGATCGACAATTGACAGCGAAAAACACTCTTTGCACGGAGCACTCCGAAAACACGTCCGAACTCTAATTAGATGACGAGGCATTTGGCTATTTTTTTTTTTTTTTTTTTTTTTTGATCGCTAAGGTGGGGAAATCTTCTAAAGATACTAGCGGTCCACCACGGACCTATTACTAGCATGCACGATTCACTGCTTCGTCAGAACGTCACCACGTGTGAACGTTCTACAGCGCCTACGTACTAAAACCCTCCTTCTTTTATGTTGTCATTATTGCGATGTTTGTACCTTTTTAGATGTTATGCCAAGGTAGCAGGCTTATATTTTGAAACTAGCGCCTTCCATAACGCATCATTCCGTTGTAGCCATTCCAATACATGAAATGCCTAAAGCAGTAAATACCGCCTTTCACCACCCGGACACTGATGATATTGCTATCGCCAGTGGTTAGGAGATCTCTTGCAATCAATCGTTTTACCGACTGACTACTCCAAATCCCCCTCCAGTTGAGTGTTGCGGAATGAAACTCGGTGCCACATGTCTCTCCGAATCTTCGCCGCAATTCAGTCCGTACGTCCTGTCTGTCGTATCGCTCGACTTTGCGTTGGTGCGCATCATCAAGCGAGTGTCCGTCTGTCACAACCTGCGCGTCAATCACATAAATGTGATTTTGTCGGATTGCCACCAGGTCCGGTTTATTCAACCCGGATTCGCATTGCAGACTTGGTTCAACATGAACAACGCAGCCTTTCCTCTCAAGTCCCAACTTGATCGAATTTACTACGCTGTTGTGTCTAGCTATCCGTCTTCCATACGTACGATAGCACTTTTGCAAGATGTGGTTTGTTGTTTCGGAAGCATCACATCCTGCACGACACCGTCTATCCAATTCGTGCCTTCCCCTCGTAGTACGAGACTTTGAAGGTAGGGCATTTATCCGCAATTTGATTCCGTTTAAATATTCCTTTCCTGTTATCAAACGCGTGGGCTGACTAACCCATCCATGCTGCGGGTGGAATTTACCCGCCTCACGGAGACCGCTGCCATCAACAGACATGTGCAACCTGTTTGCCCAGTACGAATCTATTTCAAGGCGTGATAACAGTTCTACATTTCCCGCTCGTAAGCGAACTCGGGCCCTTTGCATTTCCGTATCCAAGAAAGAGCTGACCACCTCGGATTGCTCAAGGTTTGGCCATTTAATGTTGCTCAATCTCTTCAAACGTAGCATTGGTGCTAACCATCTTAGAGAAGGTATTCCGAGTCCCCCACATTTGTAGGGGGCGTGGAAGTAGGCGACTGACACATCCCCCGGAAGATCTAGCCACTTCCGGATATAAAAACGTACCAATTTGTCAAATTTTCTTAGAACGCCTATCGTCACACTCCCAAGGGTTAGCTTGTGATAGAGTTGTGGGATAAGGACAGTCCTAAGGGCAAACAACTTCTGTTGAGGCTTCAGGGGGGCCCGAGTCAATCTCAACAGCTTTGGACCGAGATCTTCAGCTGGATTGTACCGGACCCTTCCTTCCGCAGTGAAGTAGATACCTAAATACTTCCACTCGTCTGTGCGCTTCAAAGCTGGACACTCGCGCTGACCTATGCGGAAGCTGTGTTGCGTTACAACAGTACACTTCTGCTTAGGCTGGCCCTTTATGCCGACAGTGAAACACTTATCGGCGTTCAAGGTGAGTCCGACTGAACGTAAAAAGTTAACAGTCGTGTCCAATAGTTTTTGAAGACCCATCGGAGTTTCCGCAAATAGCACTATATCATCTGCGAATGCTGCCGCGTTTGTAATGGCATTTCCGACTTTGGCACCAATCTCTTTGGGTAAGGACCTAAGTAACCTGTCCACTACCAGGTTAAATAGTATCGGTGAAAGGGGGTCCCCCTGCCGCACTCCACGGGCAGGGCTGAACGCCTCCGAACACCATCCGTCCCCATTGAGCGTTGTGCCCCCGACCTCGTACGTCTTCTGTACGTAGTCGACAAAATCCTTTGGTAGGCCATATGCAGTTAAGGTGTTAATTACTGCTGCGTGTGATATTGAATCAAACGCCTTGCTTACATCTAGTGTTGCGATGTAGCAAGATTTATTGCTTTTATGGCTTTCCCTCAGAATTAAGTCGACCATCGTCGCATTATCGGCACACCCATCGGTAGGTTGGAACCCTCGCTGTCGCGTGTCCCAATTGATTGATGAGGTCAATCGGGATGCCAAAATGGCGTTTAGTTGCCGAACCAAAACCGAGGGGACCGTAATGGGACGAAAGTCTTGCGGTCGATTTGCCGTCACCGTTTTCGGGATGAATACGGTTCTGGCCAGTCGTGATGGTTGTGGTAGATTGCCGCACCAGAGAATAAGGTTCATTATGCGTAGCATAATACCCGTTGGAATACTCCTGGCAGATTTTGGAGATATCCCGTCAGGTCCCGGAGATGAAGATAATGGCACTTTGTTCGCCCTAAGATCTCGCTCGGTTATAGCGGACCATACCCTGTCGTATAAGTGTTCCATAGGAAACACGGTGTTGGCGATCGAACAAGGGCTAGGCTGTGTCATCACTTCTCTCCAGTAGGGTTCCATAAGTTCTCTGTTTGGCATTACCGACTCATCAGCTCCATCAAGCAAGGATTTTATGCATCTCCCCTTATGTTTGTCCCAGTTACGCTGAACCCTAGCGTACTGCTGCCTTCTACTTTCTCTCCTATTTCGGGGCCTCCGAGGAGGCCTCGTCAGAATGTGGGGGGCATTCCGTGCCGGAAAAATTTCCAGGAGATAGTTAGACAAACATTGGAGAGTGGTTTCCTTTCCAAGGCCCTCCGCCCTATCGATGATAGATTGAAGGACCTCGGCTCTCCACAGGGGATTACACACTACGGGGCGGTAGCCCCGTAGTTTCCGCATGATTTCGCCTGACTGTTCGGATAGAGTGATTGGAGGTGCTTCCGACGGTGGTACTAGGTGTTCTCGCTCGCTATTACTAGGGCGGCGCTGTGTGGTTCTTGTATTTGCAACTTCTGGGGTGGGAACAGATTGCCCTCTTATCTGTTCCATTTTTGCCTTATAATCACCCCTCTGTCGAATTTTCTTTATAGCTTCGACGCTGCGGTGAGTAAAAACTTCCGCTAGTTGCTTATTGGCATGCCTTAAGATACCACTTGCTGCAAGCTCGAACTCCTTTCTCGCCATCATCCACTTCTCTTCCTCACTCCATCTGAGATTTACGTCTTCACGCTGACGAAGTTGATCAAACTCGTTTTTGTGAAGACGTGACATGTGGACACCAAGCCCTATTTTACTGCTAAAGTGCCTTCCACATATCGTGCAGGTAACCTCGGCTTGTTGGTTATTTCCAGCACTAGTTTCATATTGGGCTTCTAGGCTAGTCGCCACAGAAGT